AAAAAAAAAAAACAATGTTTTCTTTCAAGTTTACCCTTCCTGCACAAATCTTTATCTCTCTGTCTCTTCTTCAAAACCCTTTTTTTTTATAGTGAGTAACTATACAGAAAAACTGCAACGGGACTGTTGTTTGGATGGTATGAGGGACACCCTCCTCTCTTACACCTGTGAAAGGCGTGTAGAGTACATTGTTGATGGTGAAGCCTGTGCAGCAGCCTTCCTGCACTGCTGCAAGGACATGGAAAACCAGCGAGCTGACAGCAAGGTGGATAGCCTTCAACTGGCTCGCAGTAAGAGACCGGAATAAGGGATGGGCTGAAGCCCTGGGTGATCATCTTTTGCCATAGTAGTAGTAACAAAAAATTCTGAATGAAAATATGTTTGACGCTCTAGGTGAGGAGGATGACAACAGTTACACTGACAGCAATGAAATTGTTTCTCGCACCAAGTTCCCTGAAAGTTGGCAGTGGTCAGATATTACACTTCCTGCTTGCCCTGGACGAAACCCATGGTAAGTCAACTAACTTCAATAGTGACACCACTAGAATTGAATTCTACACTTACCTCCCAAAGATTTAAAACTATTCTTTGTTTCAGTGATACCACATCAGTGATTCAAAATGTTCAACTGCAAGACTCAATCACCACCTGGCAGTTTACTGGCATTAGTCTGTCAACTACTCACGGTGAGGATTCAGTGACTGAAAGCTGTTTCGTTAAGGAATCTAAACTTGAACTTTTTTATCCCTTAAATCTTCTCTCTCTCTTTCTCTTTGTAATCCCTTTTTATTGTCCCTCTCATCTTAAAGGAATCTGTGTTGGTGATTCGTTAGAGGTGATTGTCCGGAAGGAATTCTTCATTGATCTCAGGCTGCCATACTCTGCTGTCCGGGGAGAGCAGCTGGAAGTTAAGGCAATCCTGCACAACTACAGCGACGATCCTGCAACTGTAAGTCTGTGTTACATACAGTATAAGATAGGGATGTAACGATATACCGAATATCGAGGTATCGCGGTAAATAAACGTCCCAATACCGTCGTGAGACTGACAAATATACCGCGATTTTAAAAAATGTTATATATTTTTTTAAACACTTTTTTTTTTAAACCTTTATTTAACCAGATGGTCCCATTGAGATCATAGATCTCTTTTTCAAGGGAGAACTGTCCAACATGGCAGCAACATGAACATAAAACAACAGATAACACAAAAGGACATCGTATTTACAGGGCTACATGTACATACCTAGAGACATTGACAAGTACCAACAATATATGTATATCTCGCCCTGTCAATAAGCCTCACCTTCTTTGCAAAAACAGTTTTTAAAGTGGTGAAAAGACCCACTGCTGTCACCCATGGCCAAAGCATATCTCTCCGAACCACTGAGGTGGCGTTACACTTTTTCGCTGTCCGTCATTTTGACAGACAGGATCGTAAAATATCCGTCATAATCCCTTATTACCCGTCGGGTCTGAACAGTTCACGAGAGAGCACGCTCGTGAACTGTCAACGGGGGGCGGTGTTATGCCGTGTGTGCATGCACCTCGCTGGAGCGCGCACAGCGTAAAGCAAAAAACCTCCCAGACATGTATTGATCATAGTTTCCAAACCGTACTTTGCCGTACAGATCAATACATGTCTGGGAGGTTTTTTGCTTTACGCTGTGCGCGCTCCAGCGAGGTGCATGCACACACGGCATAACACCGCCCCCCGTTGACAGTTCACGNCGATAACAGCAATATGCGTGATATTCACATCGCAGGGACGTGCGATTTTATAAAAAATTTTTTTTTTTTTTCAGGACCTGCGATATTAAGTAGGTAAATTAACTCAAACGNTCTCATGCACTGATCGCTAGCTGAACAGCCAATCAGTGTTATCCCTTTGTCCGACTTCCGGTGGTGTTCCCGACGCCGATTGAATCGACAAGAAAAGGCGTCAGGTCGGCAGAAAAGACCCGACGGTGCGGCGCACACCACTCCGAATAGGGCGTGCCCACGCTCATGTTCGGCCCGACTCCCATTTACTGCCGATTTCGGGGCGGTGTATCTGGGCCTTTAGGCTTTGTGTTTCCTTTACATAATCCATACTGGCTCCATACTCCCTTTTCACCTATGTATTACTTCCTGGCTCATTACTAAGCAGATACATTTAAAGATGGAAACTCATCTTTAAATTGACAAGCTATTCAACGTGTTTACTGCCCTATAAATCACAATCTGTGCTTTGAAAGCATTAGTTTGATGTTTTTTACCTTTATCATCCTTGACTCTGTTAAAATATTGGCCAGCAGTGCAGACTGTTTACACCCAGCCTAAAAACTGACCTCTTCCCCATCTTTCTCTGTCTCCTCCAGTATGCCCGGAGAACTGCAAGCTGTCGTGCACAGACAGGGGGGAGTGTTGCCACAGCCAGTGCCTCGGCAGCTGCACTGAACCCAACAACGACACGGCCTGCTCCGGCTGCCTCCACTACTTTCACGAGGATCACTGCGTGCCGGACTGTCCCCCAGACACTTATAAGTTTGAGGGCTGGCGCTGCATCAGCATGGACTTTTGCTCCGGAGTGCACCTGACCGGAGACCCTCACTTTGTCATCCACGGGGGAGAATGTACGCCTGACTGCCCCTCTGGCTTCACCCGCAACGAGACTAATCGGTAAAGACTTCACTTCTACTTTAGGTCCTGGTGATATGGAAATGCCATGCCAGGTGACAAACTGAATGTACAACACATTAGTAAGAACTCCTTAAAACATATACATTATGTCTAAGATATGAGTAGGCTAATGTTCTGTGTTTGAATTTTTTTGGGATGCTAACCTTTCACACAGAAAGCCAGAGCTCTTAGAATTAGCAGTGTGGTTTTTGTCAATCTTAGACACTGAAGGTGCTTGTGTTCACTGTGTACTTTTGCATAATGAGATAATTTGAATAAAATATCCTTGAGATAAACTTCACCTGGCTCTTCACAGGTTCCTTTCACAAACAAGAGCTCTGAGCTTGAAGTGCTAAAGGTTAAGGGTATGTTGGATTTAATGACTCAAGTTTAGACTTCCCACTGTGTTTAGGAAGAGGGAAAGATGCTCAACAAAGTGTCTTCTTTTTACTCGCCTCTATTAGATGTTATATAGCAATACTCAAAGGTCTTTGAAAGAGACTTCCTTTGTTTGACATTCACCTAGAACAAGAACGCATATCTTTAAGCAGCTGTCCTCCCTGATCCTTCTTGTCAGTTCCCTAACAGTCATGAACACTCTCTGCTGTATGTTTTTTGTCTCTGAGGTCAATACAGTGAGTCACTCTCTCACGAAACAGAGTTCAGATGAGGGCCCATCAAAAATTAAACTCTGGAGATGACCTTGTATTATGCAGTGAATGTATTTGCCTGAATCCTTCGGAATGCTTGGGAGGCAGGGAGTGGACAAATGACTTCAGGGTGAGGAAGAAAAGTTCACATAGGATTTTGCTCATTCTCTGACAGTTATTCCTTTTTTTCTCCCTGTGTCTCGCATTCCCTCCTTTTCTCTGCTTCTGCTGTAAATAGAATGTTATGCAATGCCTGCAATGGCCCGTGTGATAAGCCCTGCACATCCCCCGTCATCGACTCTGTGGATGCTGCTCAGTCTCTGAAGGACTGCACCGTCATCGAAGGCAACCTGGACATCAACATCCGACGTGGAAGTGAGTGCAGCTCTGCAGAAGTGCTTTTAATTACCACATTTAATGTAAAGGCTGCTGTGTAACTAAGCTTAATAAGCAATACTACACTATGAGCACATAGAATGTTTAATGTGACTACAATCTGTTGCCATTTACTCTATTGCAATTGTTTATTGGTACAGTATACTTGCTTTACTACACTCTGTTGCACTTGACTGCACAGCAAATGTTATGATTACTGAGACACGTAGGGGCCTGATGGTCTAAGCTGCTGGGATTCATAGTGAGGGCCTCAACATAACATCTGCTTCCTGCACTCCAACCCAATTATCACATTATGTTTTAATGCTGCTTATTTGCTCAGTTGACAGGGTGGCTCACAAGCTAATCTCCACATATGATAAAGCAACTAAGTGCTGGGTTATTTGCATTAAGAGCTTGTCTCTGTGTCGTGGAACTAGAAGAGATCCCTCGAGAATTGTTTTAAAGTGGCTTTTAAATGGTGTGTGTGTGTGTGTGTGTGTGTGTGTGTGTGTGTGTGTGTGTGTGTGTGTACT